ACAGAGAGGTATCTCAGATGTGGGTATTTTTGGGTGTCCAAAGAAGCATGAGAGGATGGGTCCATGCTTTTCATCTGCCATTGTTCTTTCATGATTTGACCTATCTCGGTTAGGGAGTTAAAGATTCTCTTGATCGGATTGTCTAGTTCAGTGGTTCTCAACCTTTTTAATGCCACGACCCCAACCGATCGTAAGTCGAGGACTACCCAACTGGTCGTAAGTCGAGGACTACCCAACCGGTCATAAGTTGAGGACTTTTCCTGCCCGGGAGTGCCACGCATGCGTGGTGCCGTCCCCTGCGCCGGCTGAGGCGTAGCTGGCAAGGGGCAGTGACGGTGCAGGGCGACCACCGTCTGGGCCACCAGCTGGCCCAGCCCAAGGGAGGTAAGGCACCCGCCGGGCCCCACGCGTGCCAGCAACCCTCCCTGCGCCCGACGGCCTCCCACCTCCCACCCCTGGCCCTCTTTTACTTACATTTTTAGTAGTTGCTCAGCAGGGAGGGGTGGAAGCTTCCAGACAGCTTGCCTTCGCTGAAGACAACTTGCAGCACCGTTTGCAGACTGGGGCTTTTGGCGGGCTCAGCAGGGCAGAGACAGCCTCGACAATTCCTAATGGCTTTTGAAAGCCAATAGAATTAGACTCTATTCAAGAGAGTCTATTCTATTGGCTTTCAAAAGCCAATAGAATAAAAGGGAGTAGCACAGCTAAGGAAAAGGGGGAAAAAATGGCAGACTGCGTTGTTTGGCGACCCCCGTGAAATGGTCATTCGACCCCAAATGGGGTCGCGATCCACAGGTTGAGAACCGTTGGTCTAGTTTCTGTATTGGATTGGTATTTGCTGGGATGTGGGTTTCTTTGTCTTCTATTAATTCTCTGGCTTTTTGTATATATTATGATTGGTCCATGATAACCGTGGTTCAGTCGTTGTCTGCTGGGATAATGGTAATGTTTTGGTCCTTCTTTAAATTTTTGAGGATTGCTCTTTCCTCTGCTTTGAATTGATTCTGCTTCAGTGTTCTTCTGATCTGTGGTAAGACAGTCTGTTTTCTTGGATCTCTGTGACAAGTTCTGTGGTTTTTAAGTGATGCTTCTAAGGTTGCAAGGAATTCCAACTGATTAGCATCATCTTTGTTATAGTTTAGGCCTTTCTGCAGGTAATTGTATTCTATGGTAGATAGTAGGCAGCTGGACATATTGACAACCTATTCAGGTTTGGGTATCTCTTTGTTTCTGGGATTTAGCTCGAGCAGTTTGGTTAAGAGTTTAGTTTTCTTTTTTCCAACTTGTCACAGCAATGCAATCTTGATGGTGGTTGTCAGCATTTATATGTGTTCTGGGACAATGGCCTGTTCTTGTTGCTTCTTGAGGTTTTTTATGGTGTGCTGTTATTCGTTTAGTCTGAGGTACGTGTTCATAATTATTAGCCATATCATTTTTCACCCACTTTGTTGGACAATTTCCATCCAGCTGTGCAGTTTATTGGAGGTTTGTTTCTGACACTAGTGGGCAGGGCATTTTGTTGTGGGCTTTAATGCCTTTTCAGCCTTCCAAATTGGTAAAATGAGGACCCAGATTGTTGGGGGCAATAGGCTGACTCTGTAAACCACTTAGAGAAGGCTGTAAAGCACTATGAAGCGGTATATAAGTCTAAGAGCTATTGCTATTGCCAATGCAGAAAGAATAGTTGTTCCTTGGTGGTTTGCCTACAGTAAACAACAGCCTAATCAAGGAAGCACCAAGAGGAAAACAACACTTCGATCAATACTGATAGGGCAGCCACTGTATATAAATAGAAAGCAAATCCCACTTTCTTCTAGCATTGATAATGTTATCTAGTTCAACAGTGAAATATCTGCAAAAAAAACAATCAAGCTCAGAGAGGTCAGAGGACTCTATTAGGTTGAACCAAGAGCTTCAACCCAGAAAGAAAAACATTTGTTTTTTTTTAAAAACCTATCCAATTATAATTAGGTAGGTTCCAGATGTTACACTGTTCACAAATTTTGCATTTTGCTCATAATTACCTTTAAATACTCTGCTGAAGAACCGGTATCAAAGGAAGCAAAAGCAATTGTGATAGGCAGTTTCTTACCTTTCTACTGTTGACATGTCTCCCGCCATTAATCAAACACACACAATTTTTTGTGAGCCAGTCTAATAAAATGGTTGCATTGCCCGCTGCGCGGGATCACCAGAGGTTCTAGAGTCAGAGTTCCATCCTGAAGCAGTGCTTACACTGAGCACATAAGAAAGAAGTTAATTGAATTGTAGAAAGTAACAGTGATCAATCATTAGATTTTATCACTTGTTACACCCACACCAGCTAATGAATTAAAAATCACCACACATTCACAAACATGAAACTGTATTTTTTATTTTGCCCAGTCACATTCAGATTCAGATATATTTTATCTTCACATAGCTCAATTCAATCGAAACAATTTTAAAAAATACACACAAATGTGTCCTAATTTTTATACATACATACATACATGTATATGCATACATATACATATATATGTGTGTGTTTAAAAAACTGAATATTAACTTATTTGACAAAATGGGTAAGATGCCAGCACAGTCTTGAAACAACATTTTGACCACTGTTTGTATAATCAACAGAGGCCACCAAGGCTTTACACTTCCCGATCTCCCAACCTATCAGTGATTGAGAAAGGGACTGGACAAGAAGGGAGAGAAAGCATGTAAGTAGCAGAGGAAACTTACATCAGAACAGAAGAAAGAAACATGTACATCTACCAACACATAAAAGATATAACAGAAAAACAGAAACGGTTTGGGAGCCCAGAGCTAACAGAGAAAAAAAAAAAAGCTCTTTTGGGATAAAACATTATGTTGATATTTATCCCACAATCTAAATATAATGGCAAAAACTAATGCCAACGTTATATATCTTTATAGGCATACCTACTTGTACTGAAAAAAAGAGCCTTTTCATTACAGTAGTTCTAATGTGAACTGACCAGGAACTCACATAGATAGTACATCTAAAATTAGTATGACAATTAGGTAGAAAGGTAGTACTGTAATACTACATTATATTATAATTTTATAGTAACATATGCTAGTATCCCTTTCTGGAAAAGAAATGAATGCAAGACAATCTTCATTCATTCCAAATGAATGTTAAAAATCCCTCAACATTAGAATGACTTTTTAAAATTACCACCGTACTTCACAGTACTTCATTTTTTGCTTTATCTGTTTATTCCTTTCCTACCATTTGGTCTTGTGGGGGGAAAATCCCATAAAAATACTACTATGCCCCTACTATGGTTTTTTAAATGTGTATAAACCTCTCTCTGCATTATCTCCTTTTGCCCCATTTTAGAAAGGAATTATGTTCACAATAGTAAGAATAAGAAGACTTAGGCATTCCTATGGTTCATGCTTAGAGACCAAATTTCACTGCGGGTCTTGCAGAGAAATTTCATTGCCAATTTCATTGCCAGCGCAACAACCACAACAAAAGTGCAAAGCTGTGAACATTAGAACTAAGTCTGAATGATTATGCTGGATTTCATGAACCACGAATGGGTATGAAGGCCAAGGACTTCTCTTTGCCCTCCCACTGACCACTGGGCTTCATTTTTGATTATATTCAGATTTTTCATTACATCTGAACCAAACAATTCCCATTTAATAGCTCTTTAAAGCAGTTAACAAAATGATTGGTTATCAAACAAATCCAATCCAGGTTTGACTGACACAAAACTAGAATTCTTTGATTTTCACCTAAGAGGGGACTCCAAATGTTCAATATAAACTGAAGATCAAGTGTCAACCACGGGATGAGGAGCAGTTGGAAGAGGTGAGACAGAAACATTTGACCCTGGCACTCATACTTGGCACATAAAACAGCTAGTTAGGAAAGATCACCTGAACCGTCTAAAATAAATCTTTCTCGCTCCTGAGTCTGAAGCTTTATGTCTCAATTTTAATTTACACTGTCTCAATTTTAATTTATATTTACAGACAGCTAAGCAGAAAAGATACCAACTGACAAAAGATGGCTTGGGATTCCTGGCCTAATTGCTAAATACAGATGGGGAGGTTACCTTAAGGTACCAACTGGCAAAGAGTCAAAAGCATGCAGATATTTCCAAGCCTTTTCCAGCTGAACAAACATCAGCCACACAAAGCCTTGCTTTGGGCTCTGTTAGTTCAGGGAGGTATTAGAGATTACAACCCGTAGGACACAGAGAGGGGGAAAAAGCAGTCATTACAACAGAAACACAAGTCAGGGAAAGATATTCTAGAGAGATGGGCCCTTTTGTCTTAAAGGCTGACATGAAATCCAGCACCGAGATGGCTGTTTTCTCCTGAGTCACTTCAATAAAATTGAAATAAAATGACAACGCCTGTATTAATCATCAGGGGCTCTTATCTATTTATTCACTATAGCACGCCAAACCACTTTTTCTATCAACTGGGGATGATATGTTTATCATGGCTGACTTGTCCTTCCCAAATTCAGATGTTTTTGAAACCCTGCATCAGTGACTGACACACTAACCTAGCTTCGAGGAAATGCTGGTTTGAGTCTGCTTTTGGTTGCTGAAACATCCTGAGTTGGCTTTGACCCAATCATTATCTCTCAATGTACTGTAGCCCCACCCCAAGCTTGATATTGTGGGGAATAAGCAAAGGAGAGAGTCCTAGGAATACCACCTTGAGTTCCTGGCAGAAAGCCAGGGTAGAATTCTAGGAAATAAATTAAATAATACATCAAAAGGTACGAATACAATGATGTATAATTTATGCAGAATACAGCTTTTGGGTAGAGCAGAAAAGCAAGACCTTTTCAATGAAAATTTATTTTAGTAAGCCCTATCAAAAAGGGGAATACAAAAATATATCCTTAACTTTAAAATCACTCTATTTCCCAGAGCACTTCTCAAACCCTCTCGGTTTTTCCCAGGAGTGGTTCTTAAGATAAACCGATACCACTTTGCCCCAACTGGGGTATCACACAATACCTGTTTCCTTAAATCCTGAGCCGATTGGTGAAGGGTGTGGTGGTTGTTAGCAGTGAGCCCTTTTGTGGAAAAGCCCGTGTTTGTTGAAGAATGGTGATTAGCAGCAGACTGGTCCTTTCGACTCTCAGACCTGTGTTCACTGTTTCGTTCCTTTGCTGGCACTGAGTCTTTAACTTTGTGTTTCTGAACAGGCTCCCTCTCTTTCACTGATTTGCTGGATCCATTGAAGACTGGATAGAGAAAGGGGGGGGGAACAAGAAAGAGAAAAAAATAATAAGAATATGAGAGAAATTAATTCTATTTCAAACAGAAAATGCCACTGCTGTTAGCTGCTACAATTAACGTATACTTTGACACAAATAAATCTCACTAGTTCGTCACAGTAGGATGCTCAGAGTTAGAAATAGACACAAGCAGTCCTTGGCTTACAATCATTTGTTTAGTGACTGCTCAAAGTTATGACACCACTGAAAAACTTACGACTGGGCTTTGCACTTATGACCGTCGTAGCAGCCCCATGGTCACGAGATGAAAATTCGGCAACCCGCATGTATTTAGTATAGTTGCAGTGTTCCTGGATCATGTAATCGCTATTTGTGACTTTCCCAGCTGGCTTCTGACAAGCGAAGTCAACGGGGGAGGCCAGATTTGCTTAATGTCTGGGTGATTCACTTAACAACTGCAGGGATTTGCTTAAAAGCAGGTTAAAAAAAAGGTTGTACAATGTGGCATAACTCACTTAAAATCACCTTGCTTAGGAATAGAATTTATTATCATAAGTTGAGGACTACCTATAATCATTTCAATCTATAACCCAGTGAAGATCTGTAGACAAGACAAGAATCCTATCTATGGCTTATAAAGCATTTTCGCTCTGTGCCCCAACAAGGATAAATATTAGCATAAAATTCCCCAAGAAAAAAAGGACACTAGAATAATAAAAGATTGGAAAAAGCTCCAATGGTATGCAACTAGTTTCAGTGGTTCTATCTCAGATCTTTTGGATACAAGCATTTATTTGTGAGAACATGTAAAACAACAAAGAGAAAATTGGAAGTGTTAACATAGTAAGCTCAGTTCAAACATTCTATTCATCCTTACAAGGACAGAGCAATGATTGGCATTCCCACTCCAATGGCTACAAAATATACTCATGATGATGTCAAGCTGGGAACGCCTGCCAATTAATGCTCTCTCTACGCAATGAAGTGACAAGTAACAAAATTAGAAATAGCAGCCGCAGCTTTTGAAAAATGACAGATTGAAACCACAACTGGGCAGGAAGATGAAGCAGTTAAATGGGAAAAAAAACACTGTGGTTTTTCTAAATATTAAAAAGCAAGGCAAAAATAGCTATTGACCAGCTCTGCTTCGCTAGTCCTTTACTTCTGAATCCCCCAAATTTAAAATAAATGAACATACTCCCAGTGAAGCCATTATTAAAGCTCATTATGTAATAAAGATAATTAAGTGCTGTGAAGCAATGTCATTCAGTGATTAATATTATCTATACAATAAATCAGCCCTATCACTTATATGGTAACCATAACATTATTTCAGACTAATTCAGTTAAACCATAGAATTTATTATAACTTGCATTTGGGTCCTATATTTTTTGCAACCTGCATCAACTTTGCCATCTCTTTTGCAAATACTTTCCATTGTGCTGTATGAACCTTATTCTAATAATTAAGCAGTCAAATGCAAGTAGTCCTCGACTTACGACCACAATTGAGGTCAAATTTTTTGTTGCTAAGCAAGACAGTTTTTAAGTGAATTTTGACCCATTTTACGACCTTTCTTGCCACAGTTGTTAAGTGAATCACTGCTAAGTTAATAATATGGTTTTTAAGTGAATCTGCCTTCCCCATTGACTTTGCTTGTCAGAAGGTCGCAAAAGGTGATCACATGACCTCTTGGGACACTGCAACCGTCATAAATACATGCTAGCTGCCAAGCATCCAAATTTTGATCAGGGGACCGTGGGGGATGCTGCAATGGTGTGAAAAAATGGCCATAAGTCACTTTTTTCAGTGCTATTGTAACTTTGAACGGTCACTAAATGAATTGTTGTAAGTTGAGTACTACCTGTATTTCCATGAATTGCTGTAAGTTGAGTACTACTTGTATTTTTTACTTTAACTAGATGATCCCTGTAATGGATTTTACATCCTTTCCTTAGTTTAAATTCAGAGTCACAATCTCCATTGCAATCCATTCTTCCATCGGAGAAAGAAAAGAACAGAACAAAACAAAACAACAGGCCATCAAAGTTAACTGTTCACTTCCTTCAGATTAACAAAAAATATAACAGAAAAACATAACAGGAAACTTCCCTCCTGATAATCTTCCAATAATTAGAGGAAGGAAGCATTTGAATTATGAAAAATGTTGACTGTTCCTAGTAATTCTTTAGAAAGAGAACCTCTTACAGAACAGAACCGGGGGAAATGAAACCAACATTTCCTATTTGAATTACATAAATCAAGGAAAGCTGGCTTAAGAAATTAAACAAGCTAGGAAACAGCTCCATAAAGATGATCTTTCTCTTCAAAGAAATAAGTTGTGAAAATAAACATTTCCTTTTGATGAGAGAAGCTGACTAGGCATCCCCTAATCAGGACAATGCAAAATAAGGCAGAGGGGCAAAGGCAGGAGAATTCATCACCGAGTCCTAGAGAAAGAACACAGAACTGATTTACTGCGAAGGTGCTGCCAATGTCAATAGAATATGTATGACTTTTGTGGGAGATAGTGGCCCAAGTATTATTTCACTCTGGCGGTTACAGTTTAGGGCTTCCAGCTACTCAATGCCAAATATATTTTTCAAGCTCTACCGACAAGGCATTGATCAATTTATCTGGATATGACATGAAGGTCACGTGAAGAAAGTGCATTGTGACTAAGGCAGCTCTGCTGATTTGCAAAGAAATAATGGATGTGAGTCTACAAGGTAAGTAGACTGTATTAGCGCCAATGTTGATATACTAACCTAACGATTAGAGACAATACCAAATTTGGAATGAATATAACGCTGTTGGCAGGCCTAGTCAACATCAACGCTAACGTTTTGCTCTAGTTTCATTTTCAACAGAAAAGAAAAATTCCATAAGAAACCATTAAAATGTGGGTCTGAAGCAGACAGGACACACTGTTAAATTAAATGGATAAATTATTGGATGCTTGTTTTGAGTCAAAATGGTGCTTTTCAGACAAGCTCCCCAACTGGCTGTCCTTCATATATGCTGGATATCAACTCCTATCATTTCCAGTAGGACTAACATTGGCTACATGTCTCATAAATAAGAGGTGCTGTGCAGAAGAGAGAACTCCAGTTTTGCCTTGGTTGTCTTTCTCAGCATCGATATTCTCCACCCCAACTCACTATTCAAAAACATACCATGTCCATTAGGAACTTGCTTTTGTGTTTTCCCTTTCCTAGGAGTAGACTGGCATGAAGATGAAGCGTTATTTGTGGTCACTTTTGCATCCTCAGTTTCTTCATCATCTTCCTCCTCTTCCTCCTCATCCTGAGAACTTCCAAAGTATACCATGCTGCTGGGCAGGGCAGAAGAACCTGAAAATAAATCAGGGACATAAATATTGTAGCTGTTTGAAAATGGCTATTAAAAGCAAAGTTATTGCGGAATACAGAGTAAGGGCTCAAGGAAATGGATTTCCAGTTCAAAATTGCTGCTTCCCCCTCCCCCACCCCTTTACTGAACATATGAAACTCAGCTACTTCACCTCTTTGAGTTGGTCAGACAGAGATTTCTTCATTTTTTGTGTGTCAAGGAAAGATAGAGGAACAGAGACAGAAATGGCAGTATTTGAATTGGGAAGGCCTTTGTCAAGTAGACTGAGCCATAGCTCTTATCTGAATCACCTACATGCATTTGTTAAAGAAATTTTCATGTGATAGGCATGGCTGCACAGGGATGTTTATGAAGGAGTCAAAAAAAGGCAAGATAGGACTATATATGTATTAAAAGGACGGGGCTTTGTGATGTCATGATCTTTTGACCTTTCTGCTCTGCTCAGATACTGATACTAAAACTTAACCTTTCCTATTTCCAAACTGGAAGACTGCCTTGCATCTCAGCTAAAGATGCCATTCAACTGAACAGCAATTTGGGGGCATGCTTTTGAAGTGACAAAAGCATTTCTTTCCTATATTGTGAAAATAGCATATGACTAATGGCCTTATCAACACTCCATCACCAGAAACTCTTGTCTTTCAACTCACTTGAACTGGAGTCACAAAATATCTCACTGTAGGGACAAAAGCATTTAAGATCCTCTTTATCATTTTTAAAGAAACTCACATATACACATATACATGTTTTAGAACTGCTCTATGGCCATTTACGAACAAAGAATGAACTAATGTCTCTCGTATAGTCCTCTTGGTTTTCATAAATGCAAGGTTTCCCTTACCCATTCTTAAAATATAAAAATACTGTGCCTGTCATGAGCAGAAAGAACATGAATATCTGGAATATGGAGGTCACTGTGATAAAATGGAGGTCCAATGTAGTGTAATGAGTTTGGATATTAAAGCACAATTAGGAACACAATGGTACAACTGTAATCTCAACCACTGAAATTCACTGAGTAATTATGCCTCAGTCCAATATACAGTAGCTGTTCTGGTGGAAAACAATTCATAAGACAAGTGATATGCACGCCACCTTATGTTCTTGGAGGAAAGGTAGAATATAAATCTAACAAATAAATGCAATAAGATATCAAAACGTAGATGTAATGATGCATACATTATTTACAATGTAATTTTAAGGTAAGAAAGACGAAGAACCTAACCTGACGTCTCACATGAGAGCACCTCAGGACCTTTTCATTTGCCATTTACCCTCATTAGTCTTCTGGAAGGCCATTTGAGGACGAATGTTTATGATTTTTGTTTTTAGGCACATAAGTCAGAAATGCAAAGCATACATTAATAAAATAATCATGTTTCACCATACTACTAAAACACTCACTGCTGAGAAACACAATCGGTCACATTTTAAACAACCAGCTCTGAGACATGAAGTTTGCTCAAGTATTTCAATGTTATAACCTCTATGAAGCTGCCAGTAGAATGATTATAGTTTGTAGTTGAGGTTACCCCCTCTGTCCAGTTTTATACACATCCATACAGAATCAATTCCATTAAGAATTTCAGGTACAGCCTTGAAATACTTAGATAATTTATAGTTTGATCCAAAGCCTTTTGTAACTTGGGTCTGTAAATTAAGGGCGAGAGAATGACACATTTTGAGATTGGAACTTTAATTCAGAAAGGAGAGTGGGAAAAACAGATAATGGCACAAAATCTAGTATGTGATTGCTATGATTAAATATCACTTGTTATTGAGTAAGAATTAACGTTACTAATATTCATCTTATCTTTAAAAACTTTTAAAAATTCAAAATGTTAAAAATTGCAGAAAGGCATTTATTTTATCTGTACTATCCCCAAGATCAAATACAGTGCTGTTTTCAGCAATGGTTATGGAAAGTAATAAATCCATGAAACATGCAGCTGAACTTACATACAGTATTGATATTCTCTTGGCAAGATTATAAAAAGTAAACAGTGTAAATCTTGAATTCTGCGCGACAAAGATGAAAAGTAAACCAGCCTGGTACAAATCCCACTAGACAGTATTTAAAAGCAAATCACAGTAGCAACTTGCAAAGTAATGGGGAAACATGAATAAAAATACAGAAAATGTAAATATTGGTCACTGCATCAACTCTAGTTTCCTTTTCTCTTGGCTTGATGCACTTTTTTTTAAAAAAGAGAATTATGAAACCAAGAATATAATTCCGTATCTGTTTACTTCTAAGAATACCAGGCAAAACTTTCACCATATTTATTGAAGTGCAAATTAAATATTTTTTTTTAAAATCTGGGCATAAATCAAATTGGTACATTATAAATCCAATAGAAGCTATTTCAGTCCAAGAGCCTTCTGGGTAATTTGGGTTGTGGTTTTTTGGAAAAAAAAATTGGATTGTTTTCTATGAATTATATGCCTGAGCTTCCCCTTCCCTGTTTCTAATCCTTCCTTTCTTTTCACAGGTAAAATACAGCTCAGCTGTACTCTTCAGAAATCCTAAAACAATTGAAGTATTCCCAGGGAATAAAGCTACATCTTGATATAGGGGCCTCTGGTTTGACCAGTAAACATGTCCAGTGCCAAAGGCTGCATTTCTTAAGGATTCTCTTGTTTGACAAGAGACTCCATTTAATGATACATATTGATGGAAAATCCTAGATATGTTGCCTTATCTTCCACTCAGTATTCAGGTAAAACCAGGAATATCAGTGCAAAGGAAATCTGATCTATTTAAAAGGCTGCTTTTGTACTTGCCAGTATGAGGTAAAGGGTCCATCTGGTTGATGGGACTCAAATCTATCATTTCCGAGAGGAAATAGAGTAACAATATACAGGCTTGCTCTCTGCAGTAAACATGTAGGCAGAGCTTGCTTATGCCTCAATAAACAGGAGCACTTCTTGGGAGAGTCAATTTAAAGTCTGCAGAAGGACTCTGCCTGCCCTTCAAAGCATCCGTCTTACATCACTAGTGGACCTTAGACAGCCTAGAATTATGCCTGTGACATATGGCCCGATGTTATCCCCACTGCTACCAACCCCTCTAAAGCAGCTGGCGGGAGTGGAGAAAACGTGTCATAATTGTTTATTCTTCACGGTAGTGGCATGCAGATGGGATTTAGGGCTTACTATTTTTTATAGGAAAGGAACAGATAAGGGATAGACCGTGGTCACTGAAATCATCTAAAGGGAAAAACTCAGCTTTATTCTCACTTTCCGAGAAGAGAAAAGATAAATAACCGAGGGAGTAATAATAAAGAAAGAAAACAAAAGGATTAGGCTTTTTAGCAAAATATTTTTTGTTTTTTATTACTAAGGCTGGGTTTGATGAGACACTCTCCTTTGAAGACCGCTAAACAAGTGGATTAAATTGCTGAAGAGTATTTGAAAATATCGAGAACATACATTTTACTTTTCAATGTTAAAACACAAGGAGAATTCTAAAGTAAAAATGAAGTATTGGATGGGAGATGACACTGATAATCAGTGCTTACTATGAATGATGCTTAAGTATCAAGACTGGGCAAAGTAAAAAGTCCTATTTTGCTTGAAAACCCGAGTTAAATACAGAAAAATCAGACCTGAGGTAATTTCCCCTAATTAACTACTTCCAAATGTTTCAAAGAGGAAAAAAGAGACAGTATCAGAACATCCTCGAAGGTGAGATTCAAGAGATGAGGAGAAAGATCAGTAGCTGAAAGCAAACGAACCAAGCATGAGACGATGACAGTGATTATGATCATCTTAATTTATTAAATATATAAGCTGCCCAACTCCCAGAGATTACCCACATTTTCAATTGCAGTGTAAGAATCAAATGTACTAAATGAGGGATAAGCAATGTGATGCCAAGTACCAGGACAGCCCATGGTAAGGTCATCCTGTTTTGTTTTTAATGGCCAAAAGCATATCATTTTTATACGATTTGTAAGACTTCCATCGCTAAATGACATGGTCATGTGATATCCCATTTTACAACTGTATTGCTTAGCAAGTCTCTGGTCCCAAATGCCATCGAAACTCAAGGATCACCTCTACTAAGGATAAGGACAGGCCCAGAAAAAAATAACCTTTTTTAAATATTTTGGGGGATGGGAATCTTTAGTATAAATATATTTTAGAATTATTTTAAACAATGTCATTTATACGAATCCCTGATCTTTGTAGTTAATATACAATGTCAAATAAGCACATGGATTTGAATGGACAATACTTCAATTAGTGAAGCATTACTCAGATTACTGTGATTGTGTAAATGGAAAAATCTGCTTTAGGGGCTTTTTGGCTGCAGTTACTGATTTCAAGAATCCCCTCTCTTACATCTTCCTTTTCCCATTTGGCTGGTAATATACTCATTTTAACTGTGGTTGAATTAAAGTATTTTGTCCTGTTGGTTAATCTTAGTGCAGTATGATGCAGTTGTCACCAATAATTCCATGGTCTCATTCTACTAGAGATGGGTAATCTATTCCTGGAATTTACCACTTTAGATTGCAAGTAAGAAATCAAATCATTTCTCAAATAACAAAGCACATAAATCTCTGAAATTCCTAGTCAAACCTTTCTTCCTAATACACTGGAGATAAAATTTATGCAAGATTGGAAGCTGTGTATAGGTTTTTTATTTTTGATTGTAGAATCATACCAAAAAACCTGAAAGCGTGAAAATATAATAATAAAAATTTCTCTTTCCTATCTATACACAGGTTTTCTTAACTGTTCCAAGACACTCGCAATTTGTTTTTGAACTATGCTGATTTGACTTTGTTTAACGTGAGCTCAAAATGCACTCAACTGCAACAGATCTTACTGTTCCTTAAGGGGGCCCTTGTGGATATTTGAAGATAGGAAACATGCGGGTTGGGTGGGTAATTGAGGAACTGCTTGTGTGTGTTTTGGAGATGTGATTACAATATTTTAAAATCCAAAATCTTTCAAAGATTAAGTTAGGAAG